AGCCTTCACACCATACATATTTTCATCAGCTAACAACATGCAAAAGAGCAGGTCAAAGAGAGTAAGAAGTTACTGATAAGAGATGTTCCAAAATCTATTAGTTTTACCCGAGGAAATCATGTAGAACTGTAGAAGTAAGAATTCCAATAAGTCGAATGAAGTAGAATAATTTTTAGCAGAAAATATAGCTGACATGTAAATATAAGCATAATAAATAGAAAAAAATAATATATGTTATGAAGAGAGAATTGGATGACTTTATTAGCAGAACAATAATATATATTTCAAGTTATATACTCTCCTAATCAACATTGGACACTAAGATTCTATTTGAATGTGGAACATATGTTTAAAATAAATTAAGGGCATATTACAATTATTTTATACCCAAATTATTCAAGAATAGCTATGAATAAATGCAATAAATAATATAATTTTAAGTGAGCTAGAAAATGATGGGGAACCTAAATTTTATAATAAACTACTGTAAATGAAGAAGACAACAACTAACGGTTGATGTTTGAAAAAAAACAAATGTTGTTCGCCCAATTTTAAGAATGTAAGTGAACTGAGCCGGCTGGCGAGTCGGCTCGAGCTCGATTTGTTTATGTGCTCTTGAGAAAATGTTTTACAGCTAAGAAAATCATTCAAATTTTTCTAAGGAATAATATTAGTAACGAGGGGATGCTATTTGATAAATCCATCTCATTTCTCTCGATGTGCTATAGTAGTCATGAATTGACAAGTCATAATAAAAAGTGCAGCTTTTGGAGATGTTAATGTGTTCAAAGTAGATGGAATGGAGACGGTTCCCCATCATCTTGCCGGAGATGTTAACTAGAAAATCTTATTCACTAATTAAAGAATGATAAATATTTATAGATGTACAGCATGAATATAATAGAAAAATAACAAAAGAGTGGTTATATATTATTAAGGATTAATAAATTTTTTTCAAAATTATATACTCTATTGATATAGTTGTTATGTGTGGAATCTGATTGTGTTGATAAATCTGATTATTTTGTTGTCTCGGATCTCAAAACTTGTCGTGTACAATAGGGTAAACTTGTCATTTATCCCTTGCTTGGGTTTAGATGATTTTCACCAAAAAAAATTCCCCCCCCCCTACAACGCCCCAGAGCTATGTACCTGAGCACCCCGATGATGTATTCCCGAGCGCCTGGCCCCGACGATGTGTTCCCGAGAGCCACAACACTTAACGATAGAGAGCAGAGCACTACAGTGATATAGATACGGCGCTGCAGCGGTGCAAGATAGAGACTTGAAGGCCGTAGTGCACCAAACTGACGCCGCAACACTGTGAGACGGATTGTATTATTTTCTTTATCGTTTTTCTTGTTATGTATGGAAATCTTATTTAGTTGATCAATATAGTTATTTTGTTGTCTCAGATTTGAAAGCTTGTGGTGTGCATTGTGGGGTGCGAGGATTTTAAAATTTTTTCATACAAAGCCATAGCACTTTGTACACGAGCTCCCCAGCCCTACGTTCTCGAGTGATACAGTGCTGAACGACAGAGACCATAGAATTGTCGTGGTCAAAATATTGCACCTCAGCGAGTTAAGACAGAGAGTAAGCATCACAACGCTGAGTATTTGAGCACTGCAGCATTTTCAAACAGAGACTAGGCAAACCTACGTCGCAACGCAACGAGACGGATTGGAGGGTTTTTTTTTTCTCATTTTCTAAAGGGTTGAGTTCCTTGGAGTTTATTTACTTGACTTTCTCTTGTATATTAAGTTAGTGTAAGAGGGAGAACGGTGCATGAGAGAAGCAAGAAAAGAGAGAGAGAAGAAAAATTGTACTTATTTCTTTCAATTTTCTCAATGAATTTCGTGATTTGATGTAGCTCTTTGATTTTTTTTACATATTTTGAATTTTTTCACATTAAATCCTAAAATTCTTTACTTTTTATTGCTTTTACTTTCTTGCTTGTTTCGTCATTGTAGTATTTACTCATCTTCCCCCAACATTTGTTACAAAAATTTTCTCCTCCTCATTGTGGTGTTTATATACATCATCTTTGTCTGGAAACCTACATCCAGTGGAGAATCTAAATTCTATTCTTCATAGTAATGTTAACTCTATTATCAATGTACTTGCTAGCTTTTTTGTCTTTATATGTGTAAATATTGTGACCAGTATCATAAAACAATAAAACATGACGGTAAAAATGAAGGCATCCAATCGAACAACTCAATGACGTAAGCCCGAGCAAATGAGGACACTTCTCTCTGATCTGCCCTTTGCCTGCTTTTTTCTCTTTATTTGTCACCATCCTCTTATCCATTCACAATCAAACTCAGAGTAGTGTGATAAGCTAACTGACTCGCCAATTTACCAAAGGAAGAAGAATGCCTTATAAGAATGTGAAATGTAAACTTTGAGATGCAGAAGTAAATGCACTGAAGCTTTAAATGTTCTGCGCATCTATATGTTATTATGTACAAAATCCCTTTTGAAGAAAACAGAAAAAAAAAAGGCATGATAAGACGCAATGGACGTTCGGGTTTGCATTGAAAATACAGTGAAGTCACGTTTTATGAGGAAAACGTGATTGAGGATCGCATTTTCTTTGAAAAATACAGTGAACTCATGTTTTATGAGGAAAAAGCGATTGAGGATTGCATTTTCTTCGAAAATGCAGTGAAGTATCACGTTTTCAGAGGAAAACACGATGGAGGATCGCAATTTCTTAGAAAACGCGCACCTGCTTTGAGTTTTCTTTAATTCTTATGCTCCTTTTTAAATTTATTTACTATTATGCTCCTTCTCTTAAATGATTTTTAAAGCATGATCCTTCTCAAAATTTTGCCCCCGAGAAAATGTTTTACAGCTAAGAAAATCATTCAAATTTTTCTAAGCAGGGGCAGAACCCAATGGGTTCCGGGGCCCCCCCTCAAAATTTTTTAAAATTTTTTTTTATATGGTGTTTTAGATAATTTACCTCTTTTTATTTATTTTTTAGTCTTTATTACAAGGGTTTTCAGGCAATTGCCCCCCCTAAAAATTTTAAAATACTATGGTCTTTAGGTAATTGCCCCCAACAGGTCTAACCCCGCCAGGGGACACTGCCCTCTTGGACCCCAGACATATATGTCTTATAAATTTGCCCCCCCCCTGAAAATTAGGGCTGGTTCCGCCCATGTTTCTAAGGAATAATATTAGTAATGAGGGGATGCTATTTGATAAATCCATCTCATTTCTCTCGATGTGTTAAAGTAGTCATGAATTGACTAGTCATAATAAAAAGTGCAGCTTTTGGAGATGTTAATGTGCTCAAAGGAGACAGAATGGAGACGGTTCCCCATCATCTTGCCGGAGATGTTAACTTTAAAATCTTATTCACTAATTAAAGAATGATACATATTTATAGATGTACAACATGAATATAATAGAAAAATAACAAAAGAGTGGATAAATATTATTAAGGATTAATAAATGTTTTTAAAAATTATATACTCTATTGATATAGTTGTAATGTGTGGAATCTAATTGTGTTGATAAATCTGATTATTTTGTTGTCTCGGCCCTCAAAACTTGTCGTGTACAATAGGGTAAACTTGTCATTTATCCCCTGCTTGGGTTTAGGTGCTTTTCACCAAAAAATATTTTCCCCCCTACAACGCCCCAGAGCTATGTACCTGAGCACCCCGATGATGTATTCCTGAGCGCCTGGCCCCGACAATGTGTTCCCGAGAGCCGCAACACTTAACGATAGAGAGTAGAGCACTACAGTGATATAGATACGGCGCTGCAGCGATGCAAGATAGAGGCTTGAAGGCCATAGTGCACCAACTGACGCCGCAACACTGTGAGACGGACTGTACAATTTTCTTTATCATTTTTCTTGTTATCTATGGAATCTTATTTAGTTGATCAATCTGGTTATCCTGTTGTCTCGAACCTGAAAGCTTGTGGTGTACATTGTGGGGTGCGGGGATTTTAAATTTTTTTCGTACAGCCCTACGTTCTCGAGTGCTCCAGCGCTGAACGACAGAGACCATAGAATTGTCGCGGTCAAAATATTGCACCTCAGCGAGTCAAGACAGAGACTAAGCACCACAACGCTGAGTGTTTGAGCATTGAAGCATTATCAAACAGAGACTGGGCACCATAGCGCTCCAAACCGACGCCGCAACACTACAAGATGGATTGGAGGGTTTTTTTCTCATTTTCTAAAGGGCTAAGTTCCTTGGCGTTTATTTATTTGACTTTCTCTTGTATTTTAAGTTAGTGTAAGAGGGAGAATGGTACATGAGAGACGCAAGAAAAAAGTGAAAGAGAAGAGAGATTGTACTTATTTCTTTCAAATTTCTTATTGAATTTCTTGATGTGATGTAGCTCTTTGATTTTTTTTTTTTTTACATATTCTGAATTTTTCTACATTAAATCCTAAAATTCTTTACTTTACGCTGCTTTTACTTTCTTTCTTGTTTCGTCATTGTAGTATTTACTCATCCTCCCCCAACATTTGTTACAAAATTTTTCTCCTCCTCATTGTGGTGTTTATATATCATCTTTATCTGGAAACCTACATCCAGTGGAGAATCTAAACTCTATTCTACATAGTAATGTTAACTCTGTTATCAATGTACATGCTAGCTTTTTTTGTCTTTATTTCTGTAAATATTGAGACCAGTGTCATAAAACAATAAAAGATGACGGTAAAATTGAAGGCATCCAATCGAACAACTCAATGAGGTAGGCCCAAGCGAATGAGCACACATATCTCTGATCTGCCCTTTGCCTGCATTTTTCTCTTTATTTGTCACCACCCTCTTATCCATTCACAATCAACTCGGAGTAGTGTAATAAGCTAACTGACTCACCAATTTACCAAAGGAAGAAGAATGCCTTATAAGAATGTGAAATGTAAACTTTGAGATGCATTAGTAAATGCACTGAAGCTTTAAATGTTCTGCGCATCTATATGTTATTATGTACAAAATCCCTTTTGAAGAAAAGAGAAAAAAAAGGCAAGGAATATACTGGATAATTTTTTTCCAAACGGCTAATATAGCTCATTCAAACTTTTTAGCCTTGTTGAAGAAAATGGCATAGTACAAAGTCGGTTAGGAATTTTGCCAATGCTTATTTAAATCTTCTGCGCAGTCCCAACTTCAGTTCTACTTCCTGCTTTGGTTATGCATGACCACATTTGGTAGATCACCAGCTAAGCTCATTTGCTGAACCTCCAATGATGATAGTATTTTGATGCTTTGAACACATCTTACAAATTCCCTGCATTTATCACATTTGTGATATAAGCATAAAATGATAGAAATTTGATGTTTAAAATTGCTCAGTATAGTGAAGAATATGCGTACTCCCAAGGATCATCCCCAACCAAAAGTATGTCATTCTCATGATCCACATATACTACTTTCCAGTCGGTTCTGTGGGGATCTTCAAGTTGTCCCTCAATTCCAAACATGCAAGCAAGATCATGGCGGAGTTCATCGTAACCTCGATAGCGCGAGACATCAATTGATCGTCCAACAGATCCGCGCTTGTGAACCTACATAGTGAGGTAGCAACAAGCAGAGAAATTAGTCCAAGCGTTAATGATAGCCAAGCAAAACTAAGGCTTCATTTGGAACGGCTTTCTTAAAAAAATTAACTTTTTTAACTAAAAAACTGCTTTAAGAAGTAGTAAGAAAGTCATCCCAAATGAAGCCCAAATGCCTAAATATAAGTTTTTATCAGGAGTTTGTTCAGTCAAGTGGGAGTTCTATAGCTCGAATGATTCTGTGTACAAGCACATTAACTCCTGCTGTTTCAGCGGATACCTAAAGCATTCTAATTGTGTTTCTCTTCTGATTTGCTTGGTACAGGGACTTTCGTTATTCAACTTTTTGTACTAAAAAACTGCTTTAAGAAGTAGTAAGAAAGCCATCCCAAATGAAGCCTAAATATAAGTTTTTATCAGGAGTTTGTTCAGTCAAGTGGGAGTTCTATAGCTCGAATGATTCTGTGGACAAGCACATTAACTCCTGCTGTTTCAGCGGATACCTAAAGCATTCTAATTGTGTTTCTCTTCTGATTTGCTTGGTACAGGGACTTTCGTTATTCAAGCTTTTTAATTCTCAACTTGTCCCACAAACTTGGTCAATTTTCCACTGCTGATTGGACAAAATTTACATACCTTGGGGTTTTCTTTAATAGAATTGGCAATAAATAGAATCTTCTAGCTTCAAATGTTTATTCTAATTGTTCATGTAAATTGACTGTGAAGTAGTTTGAGATGTTATGGACGGCTTCACAATACTGGTAATGTGCTTCTCACTGTTTAGTTAAGGTAAGCAAGCATGCGTTTCCGAATTGCAAGTCATCAAACATCAAAAGATTGTGCAGGCTAACATTTATGAGCAAATGATGTAAAGAAAAGATACACTAAAAGTTTGATAAGTCATTCTTACAAGTGGATGCAAACCTAGGATTACAACTATTTAGTCTTTACTTTTCTGTCATGCAAAGGTGTAGATACATATGATTTTGCATGCCCATGCTTTTTAATGACTTGCATATTTAAGTTTTAGGTGTTGATCCCTATTAATTTTATTTGAGCGACCACAAAATTCATTTGATCTAGCACGAATCTTGATAAAATATTTGAATTGAAAATTTTCGAAATTAACTCGGGATCATATGAACTCTAATTTAAACAAATTTATAGTAAAAAACAAATGTTTCAATGTGGCAAGTATAACACCAAAAGTGTCTTGATCTGTGTCTAAATGTGCACAAATCAAAAAATTAAAACATAACTGAAAGCTTTGTGATATTAATTGAATATCAAATGATCCTGGAATCAAGCTTTGCTTACAATCAAAATGAGTATCCCAGTAAGAAGAATCCAACACGGTCAAAAGCATTCAATTCTAAGATCATTAAGGCACTAAAATATTGAAAAAATAATTAATAATCGAGGGAATCAACATGGGCCATCTGATGGAGTATTTGTTTATTTTTTTTTCAAAATTATCAAAATACCATTCTAGAAAATAATTAAAAAATCCATGTAAAGGGAGCTTAGACTTTGACTAGAAATTTTAGGCAGTTTAGATATTTGAAAAACTCCAAAGCTCTGCTTGATATTCGACATTAACAATCACAACACTATTGTCATTGCTTACTAGCCGTCACCCTCTATCATTGCCTGATTGCCACTATCCAACTATTATAGCTTGCCTTTTATATCTTGACCACTATCACAAGCTTTCATCTCCTGACGACAATCACCCAACGACAGTCTCCAAACCACAACCACAACAGTTCATCAGTGACATTGACAGTTATTGACTATGAGTCATTTGGTGATTGTCGTCATTACTCTTTAAGGCTCCTCCAACATTCTCTTGTACATCAACAGGAGGTCAAGCTAATTTTTAACACAATGTAAACTTATCTTTTCCAATCGAGGGAAAGAGCAAATTTTTTGTAACCTCAATTATAGATGACTATTTTAAATGGTTTTTCTCTTTCTATATGTTTCATGCAAGATCTTTAATATCTTGCAACTTTTTTTATTTATACATGTATTGAATCTTCATATAAATTTAAGATATTAATTTTTTTTTTTTTCATAAATATTTTAACATGCAATGGTTTAGTACTATCAGTGGGAAACCATCCCATCATTCTTCAAATACTAGTCAAACGGCTGACATGTGTAAAATCTATCAAAATAGAGTTTCATACTCCAACATTCATCAATCTAAGAACCAACCCTTCAATCAAAGACAAGAAAATCCAACCAATAAAAGCCCTAAAGGTTTATTCTTTCAGGATCGTATTCGCAAGATGAACAAGCATCAAGCTCAAATCTTTTAGCTCTTAAAAAGAGAACGGCAAATAGAGCAACATCATAGCATCATGGAGTCCACCTACCATAAAATCAACAATAACACAGGGTTGATCAATTTGATAGAACTCATGTAAGGCCTCCTAGCCATCAATGCTAAAGTGCCTCTTCCATCACGCCTCAAAAAGATCTTCTTGATATTTTCAATTCAACCCATCCTTCTTATGTTGCCCGATCAGCTCATAATTCACGAACAACTTTGGAGGACTTGATCTAACTTCGCCTTGTTGACACCCCTTATAATATCATAAGATATAAACTTTAACACCTAACTCAATAGAAATAAAATAACTTACTTCTCACTACAGTTTGAGTTATAACTTCTAACACTTCCATACTCCAATGCCACATTCTAGTAGGGTTCAAGTGTCCATCCTTGTGTGGAACTTTTGGTTCTTACAAGCACATCAACCAGTATAGGTCTATCATCTATATTCTATAGGCTTCTAATGCACTCTATCTACCACTCTTATGCCTAAAACTAGCACTTGGTTCTACTCTTTTTCGAGGAGGATTATCCCCAACATTGGACCTTCTCAGACTCTTTGTTGAGAAATTTATTACAAAGGGATTAACAATAATTTCTCATCTTTCTAGGATTTACCACATGAGGAAGAAAACTCTTAAGAAATACTTTTCAAAGATTCTTTTCGAAAGCTTGTCAAATTCTAAGAGTAGATCCAGAGTACTACAAGATATTTTTCTTAGAGGTCACCGTGTTAGACATTTTTACTCTATATTGATATGAGAGATAGTTCTCTCATATGTTTATCTTATTCATTGAATAGAAGCACAAATTACTATTGACGAGGCCATCAAATGCCCATCAAAACAATTTTGATAATCTTCAAATAAACGCAAGAACCCACAACAAAAATTTGATAGACCTCCCTAATGAAATAAGTATGACCAGTCAAAAGACGGGATAAAGCATTTTAACCAAATTCAACAGTCTCAATAATACCACGAGATGTTTAATTATACTCGATTAAGCATATCGAAAGCTAACATTTTAATTAAGATTTAGAAGTCTAAACATCCAAAGTGGCTAAAGCCATTTAAAATTTCAAATGGAACAGACCAATTCCGATATTGTCAATTTCATTATTCAAAAGGACATTTGGCAAAACAGTTATCTTCATATACAAGAAAAATTTTAAATGATAAATTCACCAATGGCACCTAGGCAATTATTAAAAAAAAAATAATAGATCATCAGCCTCATAACAAAAGAGATCACAAGATTCATGATAAAAAAGTGATAAGTGTTATTGATATTATCATAAGGATGCTACTACAACTTATATATCATGATGCACAAGAAGGCATGCTAAAAATAATCAAGTTACTTTTGACACTTTGACTTTAAAGGAATACATTATACGCAGTAAGATTTTTTAATCATTTTAGTTAAAATTATGATATCTACTATCAATACTACAAAAAATTTTAGCATGCCTTCTAGAAAGACTCCATGATAATAAGTAGTGTATGAGATATTCAATAGTCTAAAAACCTTAAAAGCATAAGCCTTAGAAGAAACAAGTTATACAATCATTTAAAAATCTCAGAAGGCATACGGCTAAAAAAAATACATCTCATTTCTCATCTTAAAATCTTAAAAGGCACAAAACTTAGAAGGTATAAATTATTTTTCATCTTAAAACCTTAGAAGAAATAAGTCACAAAAGGTGCATGTTTTTTTTTTAATTTTTAAAGATATAATCCTTAATCCTAAGAAGGAATCAAGGGCGGATCCACCTTATGCCGAGGGGGGCAATTGCCCCCCCTAAATTTTTTTTTTTTATATATATGATTATGTAGGTAATATGTCCAACTACATCTACTTTTTAGTCGTTATTACATAGATTTGTAGGGAATTGCCCCGCCCCCCCCCCAAAAGTTTTAAAAAATACTATGGTCTTTTGGAAATTGCCCAACATAATCAAACGATAAACCAAATACAAAGAGAAATAGTAAAGAAATTTAAAAAACATCCTTACAACCAAAATTTGTTCCGGGGGTGCCGTCCCAGATCGAACCCCACCAGGGGGCGCTGCCTTGGACCCCCGACATATCTGCGAAATGTACAATGATTAAGGATATGAACAAATAGGGGTCGAGCCGACTTCAAGGCAAAAAAAATCTCTACATTCCCCCCCCCCTAAAAATTAAGGCTGGATCCGCCCCTGGAAGGAATACATTCCTTTTTATTCAAAAAATTTAGAATGTATAAGATTAAAAAAGTATAGAATTTTTAGGCTATTAAAAAATCCTAGAAAACTTAAACCTAAAAAGGCACAATCTTTCAATTCATAAAATCTCATGAGCCATAGGCCTTAGAAGAGAGATGTATTTTTTCATCTAAAGTGATAAAAGATCAAGATCCCTATGTTTCAATTGGTGGGCAAAACTTTTTTTATGACCAACACAAATATTCAACTATGATATGCTAGATTTCTAATAAAAATTGAAGATTTCAAATGTATTTCAAAGACATCTAAAAGACTTTGTCTTCTATGGAGGCAAGTTCTCAAAAAATTGAATTATTCTTACACAAAAAATTAAGAGTTCATCAAGTATTATCAAAACTTTAAAAAACTTGATAAATATTGATCATGCTTGTATATTAAGATGTGAATAAAATATATTTAAGGGTTGGACAAATAAAAAGCCTTATTTTAAAACTACATATAGAACTACTAAACCTACATGATGGAAAGATACTCTTTATCACCATCAACAAAGACTTAACTGAAGATTTCTACAAACTTCAAGTCTTGAAACATATCCCTCAACTTTTAACAGACAATCTCTTCCCTTTTGAAATATGTTGTAGTCAGTGTATCTCAACTGATTCTAATAACAACAATACCAACACTTATGCCAAACATCACCAATGTTGACACTCAACGTCAATATCAAGCTAAGACTTAAGGCTCCATTTTTAACGGTACCTGAAATATATATACATTCATATCAAATTGGAGTACCATTTTTTTTTTAAGAGAGAAAAATATGTCAAGCATGCTTAAAATTATGGGAGGACATATAAAATTGTTATTTTTTTTTCAAGCGGCATAAAACAACATACAAGTCTCTAATGCGTCAAAGTAATTTTCTACCGTAGCAATTAAATGTAAAAACTGTGAAAAACAACCACTCAAGAATTTTTCTAGAAAAAAAAATTCTAGAAAAATTCTGAAGTTTTTGGTTAAGAATCTACATATCAAAGATAGTATCAAAAAAAATTTTAATCAACTTTGACAACTATACAAGTCTCAAGAAATTTTCAATGTCTTTATTCAACAAAGTGATATATTGTATAATGCTGTTGTTCGTGAATTTTTCACTCTACGAAACAGTAGTATTTTTATCTAAAAATTGGTGAGTAGCCAAAGATGATATATACAATCAATAAAAGACTTTAAAATTTTTGTATGACTAGTTTGATCTAAAAAATTCACTAAATACAAAAATATGATAAATTTAACATTTGAAAATAAAAAATTTTCTAAAGATAAGAATAGTTGAATTTTGCGATGAAAATTTTTGCGAGAAACACACATACATATGATTAGTCAACAAAAATAATAAGATTAAAATTTAGATAAGTGAACCAACAATTAAGAATTTGCTTTAAAAAAAAAGAATACTAAACAAAGTTTCGGTATTTTGGGGGACTTCTTTTATCATATTTGTATTACCGCACTAAGGATTGATCGACCCATCAATTATTATCTCTTATATGAGTCACATAGATTCTAAAGTCCGACAATAGGGTGAAACATGATCAATAAATTCATTGATCTAGCACGAATTATAATGGAATACTTGAATTAAAAATTTTTAGAGTCAAATTCGGTGCAATCTGAATTCTAATTTCAAATACATAGTCGAAATGATAGTTTTGATGAGATGAGACTAACGACACCAAAAGTGTTTTAATCGAAGTTCAAATAAGCCCAAATAAAGAATTTCAAGCATAGTTGAGAACTTTGCGACATTAATTGAAGAATTAAATGAAATCCGAATCTCATTTATTTACAGTTAAAACAAGTGTCTCGATGGGAAATCCTATGAGCTCAAGATCATTCAATATTTTAATCATTAAGGAGATAAAATACTTAACAAATGATTTATGATTGAAGAAATCAACAAGGTCTATCAAATGGAGTGTTTGTAGATTTTAGACAAACTTATCAAAATGCCACTAATAAATTATAAATCGACCCTTATTCTTCATATAAAAGAGCTTAAATTTTGACTTGAAATTGGAGGAGCTTAGATATTTGAATAACTCTAGAACTTTGCTTGATATTTGACAGTAACTATCACCGTCCAATTATCATCACCTATCCACCTTTGCCTGTCACCGCTCAACCGCTTTTGCCTATCATCACCCAGTGGCCAACTCCTAAGCACCATCACTTGACTTTCATCCCCCGAACATCGTCACCAGAAGACTAGCTCCTGACCACCATCATCCATCAATGATGTTGACAACTATCGATACTCAATCATCTCGTCACCACCATCATCACCCTTCATGACCTTCAACATTCTCTACTGCAAACCAACGTTTTAAAAGGCGAAATCAGGAATCGAGGCTTTTTGGCTTAGCGAGGCGAGGCGTAAGCCTCGAGGCGGATCGAGGCGTAAGCCTTAAAAATTATAAAAATAAAGCAATTTAAAATTATGAATAATGACAAAATTGTCAAAAAATAACAAAATATTACGTCAATTGTGAATTTGATGATTTGTTCTAAGATAACATTAGTATATTACTGGAAAAGAAGATTTAAAATAAACCCACTTAAAAATAAAACATCCCTTTAGGATCAAGACCCAATGCAGGCTCATCATCACTTTGATTTTCTTCAGAAGAATCTTCATGTACCGCTCAATAAAACATCCCTTTAGGGTCAGTACCGAGCATGTACCGCTCCGTACCGAGCATGTACCACTCCGTACCGAGCATATACTGCTCGGTACAGATCGTGTACCTAGTGGTACCGAGCATGTACCGCTCAATACCAAGCGTATACTTGCTCGGTAACGAACGGTGCTGGCTCGGTACCAAGTATGTACCTAGCAGTACCGAGCATGTACTGAGCAGTACCGAGCATGTACTGAGCGATACCGAGCTTGTACCTGCTCGTTACCGAGCATGTACTGAGCGGACGAATGAAAGAAAGCCGAATCAGGAGTTATTCAAGCTTTCATTACTGCACCTCAAAGTCAAGGCCACAACACCGCTCACCTGCTCTTCCGACCTAACCGAGGCCTGAACGTTTCCTGCACTCACAACTTCAACTTTGTTTACTGCTTTCGAAACCGTTATTGCTTTTGGATTCGTTTCCTGCGTCGTCTCCTGCACTCACGGCTTTGTCTCTTTCCCTCACGGCTTCGCCTCTAGTTCGCCTTTTAATTCTCACAGGAAGCCCTAATCCTATACGCGAATACACAAACACGAATCGGCTACGTCGTATTTACATATATACCGAAGAAAAAATTTCGAGGTGGTGCCTCATACTACCTCGAGGCGTTACGCTCTAATGCGTACGCCTTGTGCGAAAAAATCATAGGCTTCGCTGGATAGTTCGAGGCGTAAGCCCTGATACGCATGACTTCCGCCTCGACTTGAGGCGCGACTCAATGCGGAAGCCTCGTTCGCTTTTTTAATGGTTGCTGCAAACACATGAGCCAGGCTAATATTCTACACATTGACATCCTATCTTCTCCAATTAAAGGGAAGAGCAATCTTTTATAACCTTACTTACATGATATACTATTTCAATTACATCAAGTTCCGTGGTTTTTTCTCTCTGGATTTTTCATTTAATAATTTTAGACATTGTTTTATCTATTATGTATGTGCTCGATATTCACACAAAACTAGAAATTAAAATCTCTCTATTGTCACAAATATTCTAATGCGTAACAAACTTAAACCATCTCAGAGAAAATCAAATCAGCTACCTTCAGGATGTAATCATTTAAGTTTTCAAAGGACAAACCTTTGTATATGTCCTCCTGCGTTGTGGCTGGTTAGCCCACATTTCTTGGTTCAGCATTCCAACCTCGTTAAAACAAGCATCAGCTGACCAGCCAGGATTGAATGGCATATCTTGCAAGCAAAATGACTGAGAACTGACAGCAGCAGTTGAATCGGTGTCAACATCCCTCTGATTACAATAACTTGGTAAGAAGTTTTGAATATCCTTTCCAGAACCGAGTCCCCTTGATAGCATAGAGTTCTGTAACAGAATATCTGAATTGGTTCCTGTAAGAAGGTTACTATGAGAATCATGACGAAGATCTGCATCCAAACATACAGGAGAATGTGAAAATCCTTCCTGTAAGCTGCCGTCCAAGCAAAAAGAATTCATAGAAGAAGAATCCAATTGATCTCTCATACTATTATGGCAAAGAATATGATTAGTCTCCTTGATCACGTGCATCTCATGCCTGTTCTGAAGTTCTTGCAGCACTTTGCTAGGTACACCATGCATTGAGACTTGGCAAGAACTGGAAGGCGAGGTAGAGCATGAAGGTGCATCATTTTCGGATGGTGGAGGTGGAGTTCTGGCGAGTAATTGAGGGTTAGAGTGACCTGCTATTTGGTTTTTAGGTAATTGCTGGAAATTTTGCTGTTGATGAAACAGCTGGTTCTGCAATGGCAACTGCTGAGAAAGCTGAGATTGTACTTGAGCACTAAGCTGAGACAGCACTTGCTGGTGTTGAAGCTTCTGTATCAGTTGCATCTCTATCTGCTGCTGCTGCTGCAATAGAGAATGCTGTTGCAGCTCCACTGGTTGCTGGAAGTTGGAATTAGATTGAAGAAGCACTTGTGGTTGAAGATATGTCTGGTTCAATAGAGTTTTTCCTTGGATAGAGTGAGATTTTTGGTTCTGTATAACTTGTTGCTGCTGTATCTGAAAGGCAGATGGCTGAAGTTGTTCATTAAGTAACAGCGCTTGAGTTAAATTTTGTTGCTTTTGTGCATTAAGCTGCTGCAGATTCTGTTGTTGGTTGTCATGTTTTCTCTGTTTTAAATGTGTTTGACTTTCTGCCAGCTGCTGCGGCGGCGGGAATTGAATCTCATTGGAATTTTGCTTCTTTGGTTTCTGGTGTTGATCTAACTGTTGGCTTTGTGGATTTAATTTGAAACCGTATTGAAAATTCGGAAAGCAGGATGTGTGAGACTGGAAACTCAATAGTCTTGCCGGATCGTTGCAGATGAGGCTACTTGGAATAGATGCTTCCATGGAGGGGATGTAGGTTGGTTGGGAAGTAGAGGAGCTTAGCCGAGAATTCTGCTGTATGGCCATCCACTGAACCAGACTCAGGCCAGGGAACAGTTGACTCTGAGTATCTTTTATGCCAAAATCATCCCCAAGACATGGGATGACACTTTTAAAGGCAATCTCCGCTTCAGCTTCATCATCTGCTACTCACAAAAATAAAATCAAAAGATATAAAAGGAAAATACAGAAAATAAGCATACCTTGAAATTAGTTGTTGCTAATGACCCATCTTAAATATTTTGAAAATATACTAACGTTTTTCATAATGAATCTATGAATAAAAGCCCAAAGTGAAGGAAAAAAATGGACAGTAGTTCTAGCTTCATTTACGGATGTTTATTCATGCTTATGTGCCATAACTTATATTTTTTTTATGGCCAAAAATCAGGCTTGATATCACTCTCAAAAGAACAGGTAGCCTTCAAATCCTGAACTAACATAAAATATAAAAGACTGCATATATATATTTTAATGATTCTAATGCATAAGAAGCATCAAGAATTTTTACAGCACAAAGAACTGGAATATCTAAGCCAAGAGGTGTTTAACAGCTTTCCAAAATTACGGATCTTAGCTAATCGATGTTAGAATGAGACATTCTTAGTGAAAAGTGAGAACAAAGAGATTGACATTGGAATAATCATTTCCAGGGCCGAAGATCTGATGAGCTCATGAGCCATTGTCAAGTTGAGTAGATACAAAATTTGAGCAGATGTGAGAACTCCTTCATATGGGAAAATGCATGGCAACAAGCCCGAGAGAGTGGCTCAAAGTGATTAGTGGGTGAAAGAGCAATGCTAATTGGCGAAGCGGTGGCAACTGAGCATGATCGATCAGCGTGTAAGTAAGCTCAAGTGGAGCGTAAAGTACTAGTGGGTGAACCAAGTAGGTCGATCTGCGCAAAAGATCATACACGATCGAGCGAGCAAACTGGCAAATGAAACAAGCTAAGGAGTCACCACAAGCTGGCAAGCAAGAGATTCAATTGATCAAGATTCTCACAGGTGTGAATCCTAACTAGATTTTCAACGGCACAAAAATTTCAAAACACAGAACCCTCAAAGGATTTTTAAAACAAACGAAGATAAATAATAGTTCATTGAGAAAGCTAAGACTAGGCATGTAGGATCATTACAGGATATTCATGGGATCCTCAACAGACACAGGATCCCCCACAAGATTTTTATGGGATCAACACAACCAAAAGCAAGATGAAGGTGAACATCTATTTCATCGAGTGAAAGATGAGACATGGGATCCTCATGAAATCATCACAAGAGACAATGGCAAAGACGACTTAGAATGTTTCCTCTAATGCTATGACAGAAAATATAAAATACCACATCTTTATTTTATTGACCCTAATGATAGTATAAATATAAGTATATAAAGGCAATAGGAAAGAGCAATAAATACAATAAAAGATAATATAGACCATAATAAAGTATATATATATATTTGTTCACAAGCTAAAATTTTGTATATTTCAAAATAAACAAATGATAGAAAATCTTTGGTGAAAGTCACTTCAGAAGAATGACTAACAACATAATGGTGAAAAATGCCAGCAGCAGATACACTATTATAAACATTGGAAGCCAATGAAAATTTCTATTCAAAGAATACCCAGTATGTAGAACTAATAAAAAAACCCATGGAGGAGGGCTTAAGTAGAATGGAGGAGGGCATAAGTAGATAAAATTAACAAAAATTTACCAGGCATCCCTGGTTGTTTAGGGAATTTAGGCCTAAAAAATGGAGGAGGGCTCAAGTAGACTGGAGTTGCAACCGGTTCAATCTCCCATAATGATACCCGGCTTGGTCGATCAGCCGCTGTTAATTCATCCCACCCAACCTAATAATTGCAAAATTAGAGAAAGAAGTAAAATGTTTGAATAAGAACCAGTTCATTATGTGCGTGAAAGGAAAGCAAGCATATAAACAATTTTCAGCCTAAATATAGCTTAAACACAGTTCAAGAAGAAGAATTGACATTTAAAAACCTAAAGATGCCTTTTTATGGTAAAAAATTCAAACCTCAATGTTACGCCATTGCGAAGTTTTCCACTGAGTTGCATCGAGGTCGCTGATGCCTGTGATTGTTCCCATGTACCGGCGAACACCGCATTCCTCTGTCTCAAACATCATTCTAAACCTCATGCCAAGGGACACTTGCATGTAAAATGTCTTATTATATTTTGCTAAAGGAATGACAAATTCAGAGGGGCTTGCTCTATCACAAAAACAAAGAAAATTTATCAGATTAAAACAAGATTTTCTTGGAAATTCTGAATAACCATTGAGTGTTTAGGGACTACCAGATATACCTTGGGTTGTAAAAGATTGTAAATGGACTACTATTCGCAACAGCATGAGCAGCAGCAGCAAGTATTCCTATGTGCATACTGTCGCTTGAGAGGACAGAGGAAGAAATAGTTGGTTGCTGCCTGGTGGCACGCCTTATACCCAAGAGAAGTTGTGATTTTTCATCCCTGGGATAAAAGATTACATGTAATAAATTTAAATTCTTCATTAATGTTGACATAAAGGACAAAATCTATCTAATTTAGCCTACCGAATGAAAAGGACAGAATCTCCAGCAAAAAGCCTTTTTGTACTTACAAACACACTCCACCCTGTTGTTAGTAGATGTCTTTTTGGTTGACCTGTAAATAGGATCAACTTAAAACTAGAGGAATTATAGAAAGCAGAAAATGTAGGAGGAAAAGGAGTTCCACATTACAGTTTAAGTAAGTTTATTCAGATAGCTCCTAAAATATGAGAGCTTCCCATGGGTATCTTCTTGAAGCAAGGCATCTTATGAGGGGTTAAACATATTCACATAAGATTAATGAAATGAAAATTAAGAATTATTAACTATCTAGACAAAAGTACCAAATTCGTCTTCAACTATTTTTGTGAGACCATTTTAATCCCAGAATATATAAAAGGTCAGATTTAATATTTGCACTCTTTAAATTGGAGCAAAAATATTCATGCAGCAAAAAGTGATGAAATTTAAAGTTAATGGATCATGGGTGTAAATGAGTCGAGTTGAGCTTAAGCCATCCTCGACATTTATTGTAATATCGATTATGTTTAATTGCTCTATAGTTTAGTTACATTCATACATTTATTGTAAAAACCTGAAATTTCATAAAATGAAGTAATTGAAAATAGGAAAAAAATTTGAATTTGAGCGCTGCGCTAGAGAGCGCAGTGGCGCTCTTTTTTTTTTTTCTTTAGTAACTTGGATCTCTGCATGCAACGTAGCGCCATTATGATTTATAAATACGCAGCATCATGCACTAAATGATGTTTTTATATATAATTAAATTAAATATCCCTCACCATCTTAACCCCCATACCCAGCACCCCCATTCCCATTTGCTCCCTTATCGAGGAAGAAAGGAGAGGAAGAGGAGGAGAGATTAAGCTCTCTTCAGGATTGTATTTTCCTTTGCTCCAGTTATGAAAAGTGTTCTGATGGTGATAGGTAATCTTAGCTCTACCTGTGTTTTCAATGATTTTGTATTTTGTTAATTTTCTCCCTCCTAAAATTGATAAAAATGGACTATCACTCATTTTGATGAACTTCCATTATGTAATTTTTTATATGTGGTAGATATCGTTATTATGAGTATTTTGACATGTTTATATTAAAATTTCATCGATTGATTTTGCATATATATAATTTTAATTAAAATATCGTAATTGCTCCTAGTAATGTTCTTGTATCCGAATTTTGGTATTTTTTTGCAAATGATCAAACATTTAACTTCTCATATATTAAATGTTTCTTAAGCATTTCATCTCTTGCAAACATAATATTAATTTTGCTTACCCAAAATTAAAGTAAAAGCTTATAGAGAATTTGCTTATGGATTTTGTAAAATGAAAGCATCATCTAATCTAGCCATATGTTTTTGAAAATTGATAAGGAATTACAATTCCCATCATATATGCAAAAAAAAAAAGTTCAGCACATCCTTTTGTCAAAGATAACAATGAAACAAAATGATACTGATAATCTCTTATGGTTTCATCTTAAATTTTTTAAAAGGGTTATTTTAAGTCTAGAGTAAAAGGAATTTCATGGTTTTGAATTTTTAGATGTTTGGTTGAGTTAAATAAATGTAAAGTAATCTTTTGAGGAATTTAGAATCTCTGCTAGTTAATTTTCAATGTATTTTGAATTCGATTAAATTGGGCAAATGTGAAAACACAAGTTGGTGCAAAACTAAATAGACCCTCTCCTTTGTTGGGTCTAAATCTTGCATCTGATAAGCGCCAACCCTATGCAAACTCTCGCTTCTACCCTTGCCTTTGCAACCCTTGATCTCACCTCTATCAAGCACCAACTTCACATCCCTTAAGTGATGGCCTCATGCATGCGCTCACCTTCACCCTCAATTCCGTAGCTGCCAACCTCACCGCTACCGGGCATCCACCTTACCTCCCAAAAGCTGACCTTGTATAGACCCTCAACTCTACCCTTACCTGTGTAACCCGCAACCTCACCTCTATCATGCACTAGCCTCACCTTTGTACCCCCTGACCTTACCTCCATTAGGGGTTGGCCTTGACTCTACAAACCCTCAATCTCATTAATATCACTCACATCATTGTCCACAGAGAGAAAGTGTATGAGCAAAAGTTTTTTTCTCTTTTGAATCTTATTAAAATAAATATAAATTTTCATTTTAGTGTATTTGACTTACACTTAACAAAACAATAACCCGAAATTCAAAATATAGGAGTTTTTTTAACATTGCATTCTTTTACTTTATATTTTAAATGCATCCAACTAAACAACCCCTAACGAGAAAGTATATTATATTTGAATGATGTTCATTTATCAATAAAATTTTTTGTTACCAAGGCAAAGTTCATCTCTTCCAAGTACATGTGTTCCTATCTACCTTATGTAAATTTAGATTTGTCTGGAAATAAAGGTATATGTTAAAAGATGTTTATGTAGGGGTGGATCACTTTGAACATTGAGTAAAGCAGAATAAATACTCACCAACCAAGGTGGATCCCTTTGAACATTGATAACTTTTTTTGGGACATTTGGATGAGGCTGACTCTCTAACATCATAAATTAACCTCAGAACCAATGAATTGGCTAAAACATCTTAGAGGATCCATACCTCGATATATATGCCGAAATGTCCATACTATGTCATGCAAGTCATTGGCCCCTAACTCTTGAGTTGGTGGTTGCAATGTAAAATCCTAGAGATCATGCAATCTCTGTATTAACTGTACTATTCAAAATTAACATTAATTTATTCTGAATCAATAGCAACAACAAAAAGGATGAAGATGATACCAGAGGCGGGAATATCTTTTCGGCAGCTCTGCGGGGCACAGAAAATCCTCCATGAGTACTAGTGTCGCTTGCTGTAAGTGTTTTGCAGAAGAACTGTGTGGGTTGTTTGTTCTGCTCGAGTCCCATTTCAGATGCTAGCAATGCCTCTCTATCAAACTTTATAAGATTTTATTTAGAAAAGAACTTTTCAAAGAGAAAAAAGGGAGGAAATTGAGCATTAAAGGTTAGCAACAAATTATAGTGCGATAAAAAAAAAATATATATATATAGTGCGATGGAACCTACTTTATTAACTGGTTGAAGAGTCATTTGAGCATAAACCTCATCTGTTTCAGTATCAGCCTGACCATATCAACTAAGATGTATAACAATGATGAAGAAAATTCATGTAGCAAGCACAGCCATTAATTCATTTTGAAAAAACATACATGTAAGGTGACATTCTGAAGCACGCAGATCAATTTAGAAGGAAGCGATGGGTAAGTTGGAATGCCATCCATTTTTTTCTGCATTGAAGCAGCTACCTGAAGCTCAAATTCATCGAAATCATTCATAATTTATCAGAAAAGATTAAAAATGGGGATCAAAGCTTTAAAGGAAGCTAGGGCAGACTTGTTCGCTGTGGCCTTGAGGGAAATAAACAACATGGCTGCCTGCTGGTGGCAAAGACACAAGCGGCCCGGCGCAAGCGTGCCATAGCTCTGAGTTCATGCTCTTTCTTTCCCCTGTTTAAAAATATATCAAAAGAACAATATATAAATGATTTTAAAAATATTTGAATACAACTTATTTGGACTTAAAGAACAGAAAAGTATGCATTTGGTTTCAACTTAGCAATTAGGAATTCAACTTTTCAAAGTTTCATTGTTGATTTTGATTAAATAATAGAGCATCGAACGCTAAAAGAAGGGAAAAAAGGAAAAAAACTACGGTTTTGCAGAGGTAGAATAAATATTGGGAGCTTAACATAGAACAACTTTAACCAACTCCAGAAAGCAGAAACTAAGTTACCTTTCTCCGTCAGCTCTCTAACCTTCCTAAACTCTTCTTCATCCCACAAAATTTGAAGAAAATACCAAAATTTCTATGAAGTTTAAACTTTGTAGGAAGTATAGATTTTTCACCTTCTGAAGTATTGGCCGGAAAGCCATTCGCCGGCGGAACCTTCATGATCTTCTAAAATTTCCTCCAAAACAAAAATAGTAAGAGAGAACCAGCAGACACCTTGAACGAGAAATCCACCAATGTGCTTTGGAGAAAGAGCACAGAGAACTATATTTTCTTCCTCAGAAGTAATCGAGAACAGTTAATTCAACTTCAAAAGCAAGGGGAAAAGATGACTAGCAAAGGGTTGGAGTTCCGGAGGATCACTGGCGACGACGTCATTACCGGAAGAATTTCTGTGTTCCAAGCCGACGGAAAGGGTGGTGGAGCCGCGGAAGGTGCAAATAGTGACCAACCACCTGCCGCAATAAAAAAAGAAAATTGCTTTATTTATTTTATTTATCCATTTCGGCAGTCTTGAAAATGACTTTGGGGTCACATTATAATGGTTAATTTATAGCATAAGAAAGTTTGTGCGACTAAATGCTAATATTCGGGCGGAGAAGCCGGACGCGCACATGCTCGGGACCATCTTACAATGCAGGTTCTCTTCCGAAAAATTTGTCTCGATGTATGATCAGCTTACAAATATTGTTGCATCCTAAAATATTTATAGAGATTCATATATCTATAAATATTTTAGGATTTAATATTGTTGCATCCACAAATATTTTAGGATGCAACAATATTTGTAAGCTGATCATACATAGAGAAAAATTTTTTCGGAGGAGAACCTGCACTGTAAGATGGTCCCGAGCACGTGCGCATCCGGATTCTCCGCCTGATTAATAATTCATATATCACATAAAATATTTGTAGAGATATGAATTTTAACGTTCTAATTTTGAACGAAGATGCAGCACATATATAGATAAAAAGAGGGGCACGATAATTATAAGAGATATCAAAATTTTTATGTGTAAAATCCTAAAAAGTGAAAAAATATGGAGCTTGGCCTAGTTAAAATGATTATACTAATATTTGTTGTTTACCTCTTAGTCAAAACTCGTGATGTCAATATTTCACATGACTCAAATACCCGACTTGAAAAATTTCGGGTTAGGGTCCACCCAGACATGAAACATGTCGGGTTCAGCAAATCGATCCATTTCAAAAATCAGGTCGGGTTGACCCAAAAACCCGAATTGACCCGTTTTTGACCCGAAGCCCCATTTTTATCCGAAAACCCGAGATTGGCCCAATTTTGACCCGAAAATCAAAGATTGACTATTTTTTTACCCCAAAACCAACAATTTTTGTCAGTCCCGAATCATTCGGGTCGTGTCGAGTTGATTCGGACCCGAAGCGGGTCTTCTTCAGGTTGACCTGAATAATGTTAGATCAGTTCCGGATTCGACCCGAACCCGACCCCTGACTCGAAATTGAGACCCCTAGTTATTACTCTCAACCAACATATCAATGAGAGTTGCGTGTTTGAATGATGATGTGCTTATAACTTTATGTGCATGAATATGGTTATTTACTGTTTAATAAATAGCTCACTGAAATCACAACAAAATAATCATTTAATGTTGACCTAATTATTTATTTAATGTCTTATTTATATTATAGTTTTTCTTTTAATATTCTATATAAAAGTTATGTAAGATATAGAATTAAGATATATACATGCTTCAATAATACCTAATAAATTATATCAATTATAAATAAAATTTTTAAACTCAACTACGTCTACTGTAAAGACTACATTTTTAATCTTTGATGTCAAAAATAAAATTATTTAGGCTTTCTTAAAGATTTTAGATCTCACTCAATAAATAAATTAATAAATAAATTTGAACCGGATTTTAAAATTTGAATGATGCTCACATTTAAGTCATATTTGATAAGAAAATAAATGAGGTGGCAATGACTAACGTCAACAACAAGACGTTAGAAAATGGACTTCTATGGATGATTGGCTTTTGAGGGTAGGACATGTTGTGCAAAATAGCGGAAACAATATGAACAAACACAATCAAACATAGTGATTTATGTGGTTCGGCAAAAAATTACATCCACGGGGAAGAGAATATTTCACTATATCTGAAAAAATAGTTACAATTCTCTCTCTCTCTCCCCCTCTCATAATAGCAACCCTCAAGCCTTTATTTATAGATTTGAAACAAACTAAATAAGGAAAGCAAATCAATGCATTAATTATAAAAAAATCTAATCAATTAGATCTCCTAATAAAGACTTTCCTAATCAAAGACAATAAAAAGCTTTCCAAAATAAGGTTGAATTAGATATCTAGGGATTTACATATCTTTCTTGATGAGGATATCCGACCATGAAAGTTTATAATAGGAGGAAATGAAGATTGACATTCATGATCGCACCACTTTATTTTGAGTTATTATTTGTATTTTGATCTATTTATGCATTTTTTCCGTTTTTACCCTCACTTGAGAGAGTAGACATATGTGACCCCAAGGGGCACTTTTGTCATTTCATCTTGTTGATGTATTTCGGCTATTTATAGCCTCGTCTTCTTCTTTTTAGGGGATGGATGATTGATTAATGAAAAATTTTTGCAATTTGTTCTAATGAGCTATGGGAGTTCTTAGAAGAGTGGAAGTTAATAGGTGAGGGCAACGTACTACCCACCAGCTGTAGGAAGCGTTCAGATTTGTGGTTTGAAATCCCTAGGTGAGGGCAAAGTATTACCCATCAGTTGTATGAAGCATCCCAGCTCGTGGTTTATCTTCTCCATCGACTTCCCCTCCTTTTTCCTTTTTCTCTTCCCCACCCCCCAAATCCTTCTTTTCCTCCCTTGGTCGAAATCTCCACATGAACCCTAGGCAAACCCCTCCATTTGGATTCAAAATTTCAAAATCTTGCATTTAAATACTTTCCTAATTTAATCCCTTTTAAAATTGAAAAGCATTTAAATTCATTTTCAAATAAATTTAAATTTGAAATATATTTCCTAAATAATAAAAGTTAATTTAGGAAAGCCTCCCCAAATCATGCCGTATTTGAATTTTTATTAATATTTGATTTAAACACACTTTCTTATTTTGAGATTCTAGATATAGCAACATTTAATCCCTCATATTAATCACCCATAATTATGCTAGGAGCCGACCCTACCCCCTCCCTATTTCCTCTTTCCCTCCACTTTTCAAATTGATTATTCAAAGCCTTCCTTATTCGATGCATCTTAAGTTTGGAAAGTTTTCAAATTCGAATTTAAATTAATTTTAATATGAAATTCTTTCTTGAAATTAGGATGAACCATATTAGGAAGCTTTACTTAATTCTCACAATATGAATTTAATTAAAGACATATCATAATTCCCCTTTCCTTATTTTAATCATTTAAGTTTAGAAACTCCTAAATCCATAGTCATCGCATGCGGACACATTCATCATATGTGTCCACATTCAACGCATGTGGACACCTTCCCTTTTTCCCCTCTTTTGGCCGACCCCCTCCTCTCTCCCTCTCTCTCATCTAAGTAATAATACAATTACAACACCCCAATAATGGCTAGCATTTGGTTCTACATCAATTCTTCATCTCATCTTTCACTTCAGAAAGTGGAAGATAACAAAATAGACTCCACTACCAAAATGACTACACCACGATGATTGCCTATGTACCTCCCTCTAGTGGGGATCAAACCAAGTGTAGTTCTTCAATACAAGTGGAATCAATCATGAGCCTGAATATTCACAAAACCCCTAAAGTCGATGAACTTCTGAACTGGTGGCACTTTCAAGAATATGTTTGTTGGATTCACCTTAGTATCTATCTTCTTCAACTGAACATTGCCTTTATGAATCAAGTCTCAAACAAAGTAGTGCCTTACATCAATATGCTTAGTACGAATATGATAAATTGAATTTGTGTCCAAGAATATCACACTCTGAATGCGACAGAATAATGTTAGAGATTTCTAATTAATCAACTCCCAAGTCTGCTCCCACGAGACTTGCCCCACTTATTGTCATTGCCACCCTTTTAATTCTTCTGCTTCTCATATCTTCCTCATTGGAGTGTGAGAGCATCGGTCAAATCCATCTTTATAGATTTCTTGTCCCTATATAAGAACTCATAATTCAGTAATATCGTAGTTATCTCACCATAATTCAATATCTCCTTCCCATGAATGAGTGTAATCTTGAAGTTTGTATACTCATCTAGGAGCGAATTCAACTGAAGGAGTGTCTTATCTTCATCTCCAACCTCCTCATCCATATTCAACATATCTTCCAACTGCTTTGTGAAGTCATTCAAATGCTCATCAATATTAACCTCATGTCTCATCTAAAATCAATAGAGCATGCGTTTCACTTGGAGAAGATTCTTGAAGCTTTTTATTATATACTTGCTCTCTAAAATAGTCCATAGTTTCACAATATAAGTCTCCAACATCACCTTATACTTAATCTCCTGAAATATGCAAATTTTTATCAAGTCGTAGGCACTCCGTCTCATATTGAGCAAATCTCTCACATAAATCTCTTCATATTTTCATCGCTATCCAGAACATCCTCTAAATTAAAAAAAAAAAAAAAAAAAACAATGCATCCATCACCTCACATCTCCACATGTCAAAGTTTCATTTGTCGTCACATTTCATCATATCGATTTTGACGGGAGGTATAACCATTCGATTGATCGCACCTTCTCCACCATCGAGGTGGATGTATCCATAGCTCCACTGGAGTCTACAAAAAATTACATTAATATATGTTAAGTGCAACTTTCAAGCAGTCTCCAAAAAATTATATTTGTCTCACATAGCTGAAATAACACCAATTCGGATCTCTTTTTGCTTCAAGCAATGATTTGGGATAAAACTTAATAGTTCAGCCACAACAATTGATGTTCAAACACCCCAAATCATTATATGTCGCTCGATCCTTTCACAATCACATGAGAAGGGACCCCGCTAGATTCGTTCGAGCAAAAACCAATTTGTAAAAAATCCTTGCGCGTAACTAGTCGCTCTTCTTTTCGTCCATGACACTCGCACGACCCACACCTTTTGCGTGTTTCCTATGCGCTCTGACCCACAAGCGCTTCTCGCTTTAGCCAGTGGACACGTTGTGCGCATGCTTTCGATCACGCACTCTCCGACTTCACGCATGCTCTGATTGTGCACATGCTTCGACCCAAACCTTATGTTTAGAATGCCTGCAACCGAACTGCGCAAACCACGGCCTAACAACCAGGGTGCAT